CCAGACCATCAACATGAGCCCCTTCCTCTTCAGCCGTTTTCACTTAGGAGAGAAGTTCCAGGAGGACAATATCTTCTGAGTTTGGAAGCTCTTCACTGGGCCACACTGGCCCAGCTGTGATCTTTGCCTCACTCTAGCCCATCACTTCCTGAGTCCTCCCTGCACTGTGCCAGGGTCTCCTGCAACCAATTCCAGAGACTCATCCCCTTCTCCACTGTCTTCTCATCTAGGCCGTTTTGGCCTCCTGTGGCTGGACAAGTCAGTGAGCACAGGCTTTCAGACCCAGGACAAGAGAAAGTGATGGGGCAGGTCCCTAGAACTGATCTGTAGCACAGGCTGATGGTACCCACCAAGGCAGTACAGCTGGAGTTCTGAGAGCTGTGGCCCAGGACTGTCTCCTTCCTGGTACTGACCCAGAAAGCTGGCCTCTGACTCTCTGGGTAGACCAGGGCAGAAACCAGGCAGAACAATTCTGGGAAAGGCTGGCTCAGATTCATGACTTGTCTATTTGTCCTATTCATCAGTCAATAAATGTGATTATCTCTTTCCCTCCTGTCTTCTGTTCCTTCTACTTTTCTGCTCAGGGTAGAAGCTTGCCAAGCATCTCATTAGCCTTTGACACCAGGAGTGGGGAAGCACAGCCCCATCCTCTTCCCAGGAGCTTTCTTAGAGCCCAGTGGTAGGCATCTCATTCCAAGCTAGTGCCCCTGTTTCCAAGTTTTTGTAGGAACATTGATTGTAGAGGGAGGGATGGCTCTGTTCATCTGTTCAATATTTATTCAGCCCTAACTTCTGTCCATACATATTAGAGATCCATTAGCAAGTAAAGCAAAGCATAGTATGAGTCTTCACTAGAGCTCTTATATCTATGTCCTGCCCTCAACCACTGCCTCTTGATCAGATAATAGTGTGACCTCTGCAGAGCCAGAGTAAGCACAAAACATGGACATCTCACCTAAGCTGGAGGTCTGGGTGAGACAGGAAAGGATTTCTCCATGAAGCTGCTTAGGGAAGTTGGTCTTCAAGCACAACCTAAATAAGCAACTTAAGGGAATCCAGGCAGGGTGAAAACACTAACAGGCTCAGAGATAAGAATTAAGATTCAGGGGATTTGTGTTATTCTATTTGGGCTGCCACAACAGAATATCTTAAACTAGGTAATTTATAAACAATAGAAATTTATATTGCTTATAAGTTCTGGAGACTAAGATCAAGGTACTAGTAGATTGGGTGTCTAATAAGAGTTTGCTGTCTACCTCAAAGATGGTGTATTCTCTTACATCCTCACATGGTAGGACTAAGGTAGCTCCCTTCTTCCTCTTTTTTAAGGCACTAATCCCATTCATATGGACAGAATTCATGATTCACTCATTTCCAAAAGGCCCCACTTGTTAATACTATCACAATGAGTATTAGGTTTCAAGAATTTGGGGGGTGGGCAGGTTCTGTGCACCCCTATAATCCCAGTTACTCAGGAGGCTGATCAGATAATAGTGTGACCTCTGCAGAGCCAGAGTAAACACAAAAGCCAGGAGGATCACAAGTTCAAGGCCAGCCTGCGCAATTGAGTGAAACTTGAACTAAGGGCTGGGGATGAAGCTCAGTGGTAGAGTGCTTGCCTGGTGTGTGTGAGGCCCTGGGGCCTCATATCCCCTTTGTGGAGAGCAGGATGAGGGAACAGGACACATTTAGGCCATGACAGGATTCAGAGTAACTGCTGGCAGGATCATGGAATGAATAAAGGGGGCCAGGAACTGATGAGCCATAATAATATGGGACATGTTGAATGAAGAGTATTTGTAGGACATCCAAATGGGGTCATCTAAGAGGAGAGAGAGAGATTAATTGTTGTGGCCTCACAGAACAATCTGGTCTTTAAGTAGAGATAGCATCATGGAACAGGATGGTGTCAAGGGAGGTTAGAAGTAGGAGGCTAGGCAGGGAAGCTAAAGGGAACCCAGCAACATTTAAGGGACAAACTAAAGAAGGTGCTGAAGAGATGCTTGGTGAAGCAGGAAAAAAATCCAGTAGAATGTTGTGTTGTAGAAGCTAAGGAGGAAGCAGCCAACAGCATAAAATGACACACCAGTGGGATTCAGTACCCAGTAGTTCAGTGATGGGTGAAGTTTGAGGTGTGGCAGCTATAGAGAAGGAGAAGTGAATGGAGTAGAGCCAGCTGGTAAAATGACCACTCCCTCAAAAGGGGCTTCCAGGACAATGAAATGTAAAAGATGATATGGACCTCAGATAGAAGGGAAAAGAGGGGAAATGGTTGCCAGGGTCTGGGGCAACCAGGACAAATGAAGCAAGAGAAGAGGAAGAACCACCAGAGCAGTGCTGAAAGAAAGGAAGGAACTTGCCAAGGCAAGGGCATAGGACAGACAGGTCAGGGCAGACAGAATCCCATTAACCCTATAAGATGGCTCCTCAGATGCTCAGTGCACACTGTCTCTTCAGCACAGACATCCCAATCTAAAGGTTGGAAGGAAAAGGCCTTCATTACTTTCTCACCAAGAAATAATGCCCTTCAACACAAGTGCAGTATTAAGAGTGCATTAAGGGCCAGGTGTGGTGACACGCACCTGTAATCCTAGTGAATGAGGATGCCAAAGCAGGACTGTTAAGTTCAGGGCCAGCCTCAGCAATTTAGCAAGCCCCTGTCTCAACATAAAAAATTAAAAGGACTGGGATACAGCTCAGTGGTAAAGTGCCCCTGGGATCAATCCTTAGTATCAAAACAACAAAAAAAAATATACACACACACTCCAAACTGGGAGAGCCCCTATGGTTGCAACCCTAGGAGAAAAACGAGACCAGGAACTGAAGAGTCATGCTAACATGGGACATGTTGAATGAAGAGTGCCTGCAGGATATCTAAGAGGGTCATCTGATAGAGGATAGATTAACTGGTGTGACCTCAAGGGACAATCTAGTCCATAGGTGGAGATTACAGAATCTGGACCTATGTGAGGGCCTGAACTAAACCTCCTTTATCTTTGCCCAACACCCAGCCATCCCAGAGCTTGTCCTGTATTTGCAATGCTACTTCATTTGAGTGTCCCTGTGAGCACTCCCTGTTGGACCCATCCCTGGCTCAGAGAAACTTCAGTCTAATGAAAAAGCTAAGCAAAGCACCATAGGGACTTGGAAGGGCAGAGTTAAGAAAGGCTTCCTTGAATAGGCTGCAAAAATGAGCCTGGCCAGAAGAAGGCCATTCTGCAGAGCAGAGTTGGGCAGAGGGAGGGCACTCTTGTAGTGGTACCCCATTTCTCCACAGAAAATCTTAACTAGCCTTCTCCAGAAATCTTCACCATGGCTAATTTTAGGACCGTCAGCAAAAGGGTTTCTACAAAAGAATTCAATGTAGATAAACTTCCTATTTTCGTGTCATCCTGTTTTACTTGGCTGCTAGTCTGGAAGAAATCAGCACTCCTGGTGCTGAACACACTCTTACTAGGTTTTCAGAAACATGTATGCAGTATAGTAGTTTATAGAAATGTGTAAACAAGGCCTTTGGGCCTTGAGCTGGAGCTTCACAGAGATGTTTACATTTCTAAGATAAGAGGAGTTACCAATTGGGCTCCATGGTAACAGCTGAGGGGGCGGGGGGGGAGAAAGGGAAGAAAAAGCTCTCCCCTTCTCAGGTGTTGTCCTAGAAGGGTTAACTTGTCCAGAACAGTGATAGAAAAAGCTGCTTTTATGTAAACTTCTGTGATTGAGAACTTCTGAGCCCCTCCCTTACATGCTGAATATAAAATTCTGAAACTACCTGAACTTGGGGTTCAGGGGATTGATTGATTGATTACAGCAAAAGCTGTGCCCTGTGAACCTGGCTGCAGCCAAATAAAACTGTTTCCCTATCTTCAGTACCTTGCCTCATCTGTCCCTACAATACTCTGGGAGAAGGGAAGAGCAGAGGTGTACCTGCTAAAGAGCAAAAGTGAACACTGACTGAACACGTTGTCAAATGCTGGGTGCCCTGTGTTCCTTATGAAACTCACTTAATCCTTACAACATGAACTATCAGAGACCATAATTTTGACAAGGAAAGTGGTCACAAAGAGTTGGGCATAAATAACCCTATAGCACAAACCCTCACAGGATGGGCTTCTCATCCATTTTGGCTGAGAAGTCAGACTGGAGAAGGTGGATAATCAATCTTAGCATGGCCCAAATAAACCACCTCCATCCTCCAGCATTTAAAGAATATAGTTTTAAGACAGAGTTTCCCAAACTGGCATGCTACGGAACACTGCCAGTGTTCAAGAAGATATTATTAATATTTCTTCTATGTTGAAATACCTTTAGGAAATGTTACATGTTACATTATCCCCTTGGGGATCCATATGCTCGTGAACATCTCAAAGCAAACTCTTAACTCTTTGACCAAGGGCCTGCCAACATCACATATTGCAGCAGCTCTGTTGGCATCCTTTAGAATTTTTGGTAACGCCCATTTGGGAAGGCCTGTAGGGGCAAAGCATTTTGGCAGCAGCGTTCCTGGGGTTCCTGTTCCCTGGAAGCACAGCTTCACAGGGGCCACACTGGGCCCACCCCCTCTTGCACTCCAGCCCCATTCTACCGCTTAGTGTGACTCTGGAGAAACTTAATCTCTCTAAACCTTATTTTTCTCCGTGATATAAAAGAAAATAGGGTGTGAACACGTCCCATGCAAGGTGTTAGAGGGCTAATGAGCGAAACAGTTTCTTTCCTTTTCCACCATCCAGCCCCTACTGGGGCTCAGAGGTTTCATATGACTTTGGGCACTAGAGTGTAAGGGCTCATGTCCAAGTCCCCGAGGCCAATGTCCATTGGAGGCCCACCTTCCCACCTGCAGGAGGCCGGCCTCACCCAGAGGCCGCCTGGTGCTGCTTTCCAGCGACAGGCGCGGGCAGGAGGGGCAGTGGCCTCCCGCTTCCGGGAGTCGGGCCAGCGCAGCACTTCCCTGGGCGGAGCCCGCGCCGCAGACTTCCGAGACCCTGGCTAGAGAGAAGGTGAATGACCCGACTGGCGGGTGGGGAGAGGCGGCACCGTGGCTGCGGGACTTCTGGGGCAACCCGCGGCCCTTAGGTCCAGACCCGACTTTGAGCCGCAAGAATCCGTCCTGCTTTCTTCCGGGACTCGTCCCAACTCTGTCCCGGAGTGACCGCCTTCTTTTCTCCCGGTCCTTTCGACTGGCACCCAGAACGCGTAAGCAGCATTAAGAAGTTCCTCCGGGAAAGCTGTCACCTTTTCTGTCGCAAAAGAAACCAGTGCCGGGCTCCTCTCCTTTGGCTGGGGTTCCATAGCCTGACTCTGGTTGTTTCAGTCTTAAACTGTAGATACTGTTTTCTCTGCGTGTCTGCTCTTGGGTTGACTTGTGGCAAAAACATGGTTTTATGTAGGGTTAAGTACCTCTGAGGCCCAGTCATTTAGCGACCTCCATCGTGGCACTGAGCCAAGTACTAGAGGGACACGATGAACAGGACAAATTCAGCCCTCTTGGGCCCCTTGGAGACAAGTGAATTAGAAATCAATGCACCAGGCAGGCAGTAGAGTGCTCGCCTAGCACGGGCGGGACCAGGGTTTGATTCTCAGCACCACATAAAAAAATAAAGGCATTGTGTGTCCAGCTACCAAAAAAAAAAAAAAAAAAAAAAAAGAAAAGAAATCAATGCACCAGAGAAGTGCTGCTGAGAGAGGGGGAAGTATGAAATCTCAAGTGGAGACACCTAACCCAGGGAATATGAGTTTCAGGAGTGACTCAAAAGAAGCCACATCCAGTTTGTGTTGTGTGTTTTAGATTTTTTAAGAAATGATACATAACACATTTGGAAGAGTGCATAGATCCTAAGTGCATGGCTTAACCATTTTCACCAAGTGATAATTTCCTGTGCTATTTGCATCTGGTACAATAAACCTTTACTAACCTCCTACAGCCTTCTTATAAGCCTTCTTACAGTCACTGCTTCCCCCTAAGGGTGACTACTAAGCTGGTTTTGACACCATAAAGGAGCTTTGCCAGGTTTTAGACTTTCCATCCATGTAGTGATATGTTCTCTCCAGAATATGGCATTGTTCACTATGTTTTTTGAGAGTCACCCTGGTTGCGTTTAGCAGTAATTCATTTAGCAATAATTCATTCAGCCTTGTTGATATATAACATTCTGCTGTATGGCTAGATTGTTTTATTTATCCAATTTATTTATCCAACCTACTGCACACTTGAGCTGATGAACATTGTTGTTTCCCAATTGGGGATTATTTTGAATAGTGCTGCAGATATTCTTGTGTTTTTGTGAACCTATGGATGCACTTCCACCTAAGAGTGGAATTGCTGGCTGCAGGCACATTCTGCTTGATTATAGTGCCCAGTTTACACTCCCCCCAGGAGTATGTGAATTCCTATTTCTCCACATCCTTACCAATATCCCATACTATCTTTTTCATTCTATTGGGGACATAGTGGTGATGGACTAAGATTTTAATTTGCATTTCTCTGATGACTAATGAACTGTGTACCTTTTATGTCTGTTGGCCATTTGAATACCCTATTTTGTAAAATTCCTGTTCAATTCTGCCCATTTTTCTTTTTGTTGGGGGTGGGGTAGGCATAGGGCTTGGTCTTACACCCAGAGTGAGATGCACCCCCAAACCTAGCCCATTTTTCTAATAGGTTGTCTCTCTTTTTCTTAGTAGTGTGTAGGAGTTCTTGAAATTTCAAATGCAAGACATTTATTGGATCTGTTTTTATTTTTGGAGGGGTGATGGTTTGGTTTTTAATGGTGATGGGAATTGAACTCAGCCTTATACATGCCAGGCAAGCACTCTACCACTGAGCCACATTCCCAGCCCAGATCTGTACTTTTAAGCATTTTCTCAGTAGATTGTCTTTTTACTCCTAATGATGTATTTTGATGAACAGAAGTCTTCATTTCATTGGTTTCCAATTCATCCTTTTCCCCATGGTTGTGTTATTAGTATCAGATTAAAAATTTTTTGTTTACTCCAAAGTCATAAAATAATTTTCTCTAAAAGCTTTATTGTTTAACCATTAGCAGTTACATCTAGTATCCATTTGAAATTACTTTTTTGAATGGTATGAGATGTGGATTGAGACTCATTTTTTTCCCAATTGACTATCTTAATTGACCAAACACCATTTATTGAAAAGACCATCTTTCCCTGCTGCATTACAGTGTCAGATAATACAGATATGGGCCTGTTTCAGGACACCCTGTTCTTCCATTGGCCTGTCTTTCTGTCCTTGCCCACCAATGTACTACTTTATAATCAATCCTTATTATTCTAGCATCACATATTTCAGCAGTTTCTGACGAGCTTAGATACTGTTCAAATATCACCACAAAGCCATTTTTAAAGAATATTGCAAGTAGTTATTTGGAAGCCACATATGGTGGCACATGCCTGTAATCCCAGCAACTTGGAAAGCTGAGACAGGAGAATCACAAGCTTGAGGGCAGCCTCACTCAGCAACTTAGTGACACCCTGCCTAACTGAATAAAATAAAAAGGCTGGGGAACTAACTCAGTGGTAAAGTGCCCCTGGGTTTAATCCATAATACCACACATAATATAGCAAAATTAATTATAATGTTTTCTATTCATATTTGATTGCTGTTTTTATGTGACTAAAGTACAGATAAGTTTTTAGATTTTTTTTTTTTTTTTTTTGTACTGGGGATTGAACTCAGGGCCTTGTGCATGCGAGGTAAGCACTCTACCAGCTGAGCTATATCCCCAGCCCCAAGTTTTTAGATTTTAATGCATAAATTAAAAATACTTTTATTCTTAAATTCAAAATACTGGGTGCTATTTTTAACACACGTGCACTTTTTGACATTTTTTTTTCTAATTTTTTATTCTTTTTAGTTATACAAGACAGTAACTTTTTGACATTTTTAATTCTTCAAAATCTACAAAATATCTTGGTAAAAGTATATGTGCCTTGACATGTATTAATCAAATGATTTATTTTAATACTTCAGTTAACAGAATTCTGTTTCCTGTCACAGTTCAATCTTAAATTTGACATTATAGCAAAAATAAGTAGTTCAGAATTTATTTCACAAAACCAATCCCAAGATTTGCTAAGCATTTTTAAAATTATTTCACTAATTTGTAAATATAGGTAACATAATCTAAACTAGTAGTTCCTTGTACCAAAATTTCCTATGGAGCTCTGACAAAATTGATTTTGGGGCCTTACTTCTGAAGCACTGAATACAAATCTCCAGGGAAATCTCTCTCTCTCTCTCTCTCTCTCTCTCTCTCTCTCTCTCTCTGAGTGTGTGTGTGTGTGTGTGTGTGTGTGTTTTGTTTTGGGGCACTGGAGATTTAATCCAGGGGCAATTTACACTGAGGTCAGGTGTAGTGGTGCACACCTGTAATCCCAGTGGCTCAGGAGACTGAGGCAGGAGGATTGCAAGTTCAAAGCCAAACTCAGCAATTTAGCAAGGCACTAAGCAACTTAGTGAGAACCCTGTCTCTAAATTAAATACAAAAAAGGGCTGGAGATGTTGCTTATTGGTTAAATGCCCCTGAGTTCAATCCCCGGTACAAAAAAAAAAATTACCACTGAGCTACATCGCCAACCATTTTTTATGTTTTTTAAATAGAGCCTCCCTGAGTTGCTTAGGGCCTCACTAAGTTCCTGAAGCTGACCTTGAACTTGTGATCCCCCTGTCTCAGACTCCCTGAACCTCTGGGATTACAAGTGTACACATGTAATCCCAGCAATTTGGAACTTGTGACTGGCAGGGATCGTTTTAAAGAGCTCCAGGGGAATTGATGATATGCAGTTTTATTTGATGGACACACAGGACCAATTCTTATATACATTAGAATCCTGAAGTTCTAGTTTAAAATGCAGGATCCCAAATCTCATGTCCAGGGATTCGATTCAGTAGACTTCAGATGGAGCACAGAAACTGGCATTTTAAACTAACACAGTCCCTGATTTATTATTTCAAAGTTTCTGTGGCTCAAGGGACCAAGCAAGACTTAACTGGATCCTTTGCTCAGGGTTTCACCCAGCTATAATCCAGGTGTCCATGGAGCTTTGGAGTGATCAGAGGCTCAAAAGTGAGGAAAGATCCACTTCTAAACCACTTCAGGTCGTTGGCTGAATTTATCTTATTGCAATTGTAGGGTTGAGGTACATTTTCATGCAAGTTATCAGCTGGGGACCACTCTCAGCAACCAGAGGCTGCCCATTGGTCCTTCATACATGGTCCTGTCATAACATGGCACCTTTTTCAGAGAGAGCAAGGGTGTTTCTTTCCCATCTGCTAAGATGGAGCTATGTGTACACATGCAATCATACATGTACACATGTATGCATTCACACATAATATTCATATATGTAATATATATAAATCTTACATATGATGTATGTAATGTAGACATAAACATGTAATATATAATAACATAATCATGTGAGTGACATTCCATCACCTTTGCTGTGTTCTGTTGATTAGAAGAAAAACACAGGTGTTAAGAGTGGTGGCACAAGCCTTCAGTTCCAGCTATTCCAGAGGCTGAGTCAGAAGAAACATGAATTCAAAGCTAGACTGGACAACATAGACAATGTAACCAGACCCTGCCTCAAAAATACTGAAAAAGTTGGGCAGGGTGGTGTACCCCTGTAATACCAGTGACTCAGGAGAATGAAGCAGGAAGCTTACAAGTTTGAGGCCAGCCTCAGCAATTTAGTGAGGCCCTGAGTGATGTAGCAAGACCCTGTATCAAAATAAAAAATAAAAGGGGATAAGGATGTGGCTCAGTGATAAAGTGCCCTTGGGTTCAATATCCAGTACAAAAAAGAAAAAAAAAAAAAGATTACTCAAAGAATAAAACAAAAAATGTTAAAAATCATGGTTCCATCCCATACTTAGAAGTATGAATGTGGGAGCTACCCCCACAATCTACAAACCACTCTTTGAGAAACACTGTATTGTGTTTAAAAATCTGTAAGCAGATGGGTGTAGTAGTACATGCCTCTAATCCCAGTGGTTCAGGAAGCTGAGACAGGAGGATTGCAAGTTCAAGGCCAGGCTCAGCAATTTAGCAAGGCCCTAAGCAACTTAGTGAGATCCAGTCTCAAAAAAAAGTTGTGAATGAATTATGCTCAATCCTACAAACCCTAAAAAATCCTGCCAAGACAAATGTTTTAGCAAGTATTTGAGAATAGTATAGCCTGTTGAAAACAAATTTTTAAAAAAGAAATTTTTTGTAGTGCTGGGGATTGATCCCAGGGCCTCATGCATGCTAGAGAAGTGTTCTACTGCTTCTGATTGATAGCCCAGACTCTTTGATTTGATTAATTTATCTGTGGTACTGGGGATTGAACCCATTGGCACTCTACCACTGAGCTACATTCCTATCTCTTTTTATTTTATTATTGTTATTATTATTACTTTGATTGAATCTAGGGGCACTTAACCACTACCACTGAGCCACATCTCCAGCCTGTTTTATTTATTTTTATTTTGAGGCAGGGTCTCATTAAGTTGCTTAGGGCCTTGCTGAGTTGCTGAGGCTGGCTTTGAACTTGAGATTCTCCTGCCTCAGCCTCCTGAGTTGCCCAGCTCACTTTAGATTTTATACAGTAACACTTCCCTCTTGTAAGTTGCTACATATAATAGTGTAAGGAACATTCTGGAAGGCACTAAAGGTATCATGCTGCTCCTTTTTTGAAGAAGTTCTTTATTCATTTTCTATCAAGTCTTTGTTATTCTTTCCAAATGGGTGTTTGAGGTATACATTGTTTTGATTTTTGGTACTGTGGATTGAACCCAGGGGTGCTTTACCATTGAACTACATCCTCAGTTTTTTTATGCTGATTCATAATGTGGATGGGGGTGTGTATGCATGGGGCGAATAGAAGAACTCTAGATAGGGCAGAAGGGTATGGGGGTAGGAAAGGCAGTGCAATGAGATGGACATCAGTACACGTATGAAGGCATGAATGGTGTGACTCTACATTGTATACAATCAGAGATATGAAAAATTGTGCTCTATAATATGTGTAATATAAATTTGAAATGCATTCTGCTATCATATATAACAAATTAGAATAAAATTTTTAAAAAGATGTACAGAACCTTTAAAAAACCAGATGTACAGAGAAGGCAATCCTTTGGCAGGAAAAGAACTTCAAAACCTAACAATGGAAACTGAATAAATCTTTATTCTCTATAAATTAAAAAAAAAAAAAACTAACAATGGTATGAGGCCCTGCCATAGCTGCTGCCTGCCACCTAAGTTATCTGAAGATTAAGGATATTAAGTTATCCCAAGATTAAGGATATTAAGAAGGAAAGAAACTCATGCACATAGATAGTCTATTTTGATGTCCTTTTGAATTTTAATACTTCTCTGCCTTTCTCTTTAAAATGTCTTCTTTGGTTCCTGCACTTATCCCAGCTCGTCTTTCTGCCCCTTTTGTTGCTGCAGTGTGATTTTTTTTTTAACTGTGATAATATTTATCAATCATCAGCATCTCTGGTCTTAGTCATCAGTTTGGTATGATAGTGTTTATCATCAGTGAATAGAGCATTAATGTCTAACAGATTGCTATTCATTAAATTTGAAAACCTCAGTATTACAGTGTGTTTAAAAATCTACTTTATTTCTGTGGAAGTTCCCAGAGGGAACATTTTTTTTTTTTCCTTTTACCTCTGAAGATCTGGCAAAGAGTGAGAAAGCAGGCCTGTACCTGTTACTCTGCAGGTCCAGAGCCAAGCTTCCACCAGCCCTTAATTTGGAGAAGTATCTCTAGAATTCTGTGATTTCCCCCTGCAGACTCTGAGCCACCCAATGTTTCCCATAAACCTAGGTTTAAAGAGCTTCCAGCACTCCTCCTCCTCCTCCTCCTCCTCCTCCTCCTCCTCCTCCTCCTGCTCCTCCTCCTCCTCCTCCTCCCCCCTCCCCTCCCCCTCCTTCTCCCCCCCCACACTTTACTACTAAGCTACATTCTACATTCCCAGTTTTTATTTTATTTTATTTTTAAATTTTAAGACAGGGTCTTGCTAAGTTGCCGTAGCTCACCTTGAACTTGCAATCCTCCTGCCTCAGTCTCCCCCTACCGTAGCTCCCCAAGTCACTGGGATTACAGGTGTTGTACCACTGTACCCAGATTATTTTAAAGACATACTAACCCGAAACATTTTCTGAGCATTTATTGTATGGCAGATGTCATTGGGATTTACATAAATTATCTCATGTAATTCTTACAATAATGCTGAGAAAATTTCTAGCATTACAGTATTTCCATTTCACAGATGGAGATGCTGAAGCTTAGCAAGTTGCTGAAGGCGCCATTAACTAGAAGTGAGAATCTAAGCACTGTGCCTTCAGAGTGTAGCCTTCACCACTTCATGACACTTTCTCCCTGATCTGAGAACTGGATAGGTAGAAGAATGGGGGCTTTGAGGGGAAAGCAGACAGAGAGGAAGTCTCTCAAGGAACACACATGTTCTTGCTTTTGACTGCTCAGCATCTGTCTACCTGGATACACAGTTTTCTGTCCAAATACCAGCTGTCCTCCCATTTCAGCATTTATACAAGAAGTGCCTCTAAAGAGCTCCCTGCCATGAACTCTACCCCAAATTCCAAACGCACTCCTAGCCAGGTGGAGTAGAGAACAGTCACTCTGCCAGTCATGCTGAACTCACACCCTGTAAGTCTGAGTATACTTCACAAAACCTGGTTTATTCAGAAACCAGCTCTAATCACAGTGTTGTTTTTCCCTAGTCTCATGATTAGGACCTGTTTAGGCATTAGCAGAGTGGCAGAACTTCCAGAAGCCCACAAACTGGGATTAGGAGTAAGGTAGGTATAACTTATGATTCTCTTTCTCTATCCCTTTTAGGATGGCTGTTCCATGAGGTCAAGACTGGGTTTCCCCCTTTCTACTGCTTTACTGATGCCCAGTCTCATGGGGTTAGTTTTGAGCCCAACACTATGGCATCATCGACCTCCCTCCCTGCTCCTCAATCCCAGTCCAAGAAGCCCCTGGGCAAGATGGCTGGTGAGTGGACCCAGATTCCTACTCCTGTTCTTGCTCCTAAGAGTGTAGTCCTTAGTCTGCATGTTGGCGAGGTGGGAGGCCTGCCTGGTCCAAACACAGGGAGGTGACGCAGAAGGGTGACAAGGGGGCAAAACTCCTCATTAGACTTCAGTGCCCATGCTTTGTGGAAAGTGAGGAGAGAGGCATGCATTAGTGAATTCTTTGGTGGGTTCTTCAATCCTTTTGGCTCAAAGGTTTTCTAGCCTGCTCAAACAATTTTCCTAGCCTAGAAATCATTAGGCTAAATGCTTAATACTGTGACTCTTGTCATACTAATCTTTACTCTAGAACCTTTACTCTAGGACCATAAAAAGAAAAAAAACGAATCAATCCCCCAAACACCAAACTATCTGTATTCATCAGTAGCTGAGTTTTAATATTATTATGGAGTACTTATGTGAGATATTGCATTATCTCAGTTAACCTTCAACAACAACTAAAATGTGTTATTTTATAGATAAAGGAAATGGAGATCTAGACTAACTTGCTTAAGGTTATAGAATAAGCAGTAGGACACAACCTAATCTATGTGCCTGGCTCCAAAGTGTAGATTTTGAATCAGTAAGCCCTGTGCTTTACCAGAGCAGTAGCTCTCTTTCCTAGATTCGTGTTGCCTACTTAGCAACATCTAGGATTTCTTGGAGCTAAACAGATACAAGCCCCCCTGCCCTTTCCTTTCCACAATGGGCATCCCACCCTAACCTAAAGCCACCTCATCTCAGTGCTGGAAGTGGGCTTTGGAACAGGGTGATCTTTACCAGCATACATAGTTCTATATGCAGATGGTTGACCAGCTAGTTCTAGTGAAATATTCTACTTAAGGGGTGGGGTACTAGGTATCAAAAGACTTGGAGCAGGGCAAGGCCATCTCTATTTTTTTCTTGTTTTTGAGACAGTGTCTCACTGTGTTATCCACACTGGCCTCAAACTCCTGGGCTCTAGTGATCTCATGTCTCAGCCTCCTTTGTAGCTAAGACCACATTTCTGGTACTCAGGCCTAGCTGAGCATTGCACACTTCCATCAGAGGCTACAGGATCCCCCTATTGTGCATTACTCACCTGGCTAAGGACATCTCTTAATCAAGCTGATAAAACACTCCCAAATAAGGACTCTAGAGTTCTCATGTATTCTTGAATCCTTTCAAGATAGAAAGAACTCTTAGGCAAGGCCTAAAGGGATAACAAGTTGGCATAGCTAAATCTTTGAGAGTAAGGTGTTTCCCAACGCAGGGAGCTGGCAGGAATCTGCCCATCTTCTCTTGGTGGTGAGACTCCTCCATGTGTGAGGAGGTAGCCTAGAAAGATGTAGGCCTGAGCAGTATGTTTCCCCCCACTACAGATTGGTTCAGGCAAGCCCTATTAAAGAAGCCCAAGAAGATGCCTGTTAACCCAGAAAGCCACTCCAGTGATGGTTCACAGTCAGCCTCACAGGACAGCCACCGACCCTCAAATCCCAATTCAGTCATATCTTCCAACCCATCATCAGCACACGTGGATACCAGCAGCAGCAGGGGCCGCTGGAGCAAAGACTATGACGTCTGTGTATGCCACAGTGAGGAGGACCTGACAGCTGCCCAGGAACTGGTCGCCTACCTGGAGAGCAGTACTGACAGCCTACGCTGCTTCCTGCAGCTTCGGGATGCAACCCCAGGTGGCGCCATTGTATCCGAGCTGTGCCAAGCACTGAGCAGTAGTCACTGCCATGTGCTGCTTATCACTCCAGGCTTCCTTCATGATCCTTGGTGCAAGTACCAGATGCTGCAGGCTTTGACTGAGGCACCGGGAGCCGAGGGCTGCACCATCCCCTTGCTGACTGGACTGACCAGAGATGCCTACCCTCCTGAGCTCCGATTCATGTACTATGTTGATGGCAGAGGTCCTGATCGTGGCTTTCACCAAGTCAAGGAAGCTGTCATACGTTGTAAGCTACCGAAGGGTGAAAGAAGGGGAGGGGACTCAACCTCAGAATCTGATCTACATTGCCTGTAGGAGACAGCCATTATAGTTCCTGGTAGTTTAAAGTGCAGGCTCTGGAAAAGACTGGGTTTGGATCCTGGCTTCTTTATCTATTATCATGTGAGCAGTTACTCCCATAGGCAAGTTATTTAACTCCTGTGTGCCTTGATTTTCTTATTGCTTATCAGACTTCTATTACTGTAAAACAAGAATTGTATAGCTGGGCATGGTGGCATATGCCTGTATTCCCAGCGACTTGGGAGGCTGAGGCAAGAGGACTGCAAGTTAGAGGCCAGCCTCAGCAACTTAGCAAGTCCCTAAGTAATTTAGCAAGACTCTATCTCAAAATGAAAAGGACTGGAGATGGAGCTCAGTGTTTAAGTGTCCCTGGGTTCAACTCCCAGGAACTTAAAAGAGAAAGAATAGTATGTATACTCAGTAGGTGTTCAGAGTATGACCTAGTACATGTTAAGTATTCATTACAGGCAAGGCCTAGCACATATCAAACCCTGTATATGTATTAGCTGGTGGTAACAGTAATAGTATGAAGTTTCTCACTAAGATTAGTTAGAGATGTCTATCAAGATCTGGGAAATGCCAGGAGGGATATCAGTTTAGTAAGGCAAAAAGGAGCAAAATAATTAGAATTTCATATGATGAACATACTCAGAGGAGGGACAATTATATTACAGTGGGTAAAGAAGAAACATAATAAAAAGAAGACAAAGACACAGGGACCAGTAGGGGGGGAATAAAGATTCTGTGTTTGAGGAGGTTGACAATTCCTATAATTCTGTTTGGTCTCTTTCAGATCTGCAGACGCTCAGTTGACACTTCTTATGTTATCATGGGACCAAGGAAGTTGGAATAAAGCAGATATAATGAGACATCAGGAGCCAGAGTCTGCAGCATTTTATAGTGGCCCTGGGATCAGACTACCCATCAGGCTTCTATTACTGTGGGCTCCCCAGGAAGGCCATGGAGAAGTCAGGGACTCCCCCAGGAAGGCCACAAGGAAGGTGGGGACTTCCCCGGGAAGGCCACAAGGAAGCTGGGGACTCCCCAGGAAGACCATGAGGAAGCAGGGGAGTCCCCCAGGAAGCCAGAAATAGAAGTTGGTAGGAAGTGCTGATACCAGCAGGGTCAGCAGTCTTTTGCCTGCTGCCTAACTAGACAGGAAGCCTGGCACATACCTGTCTCCTTCCCTGGTACTGGGCACTGGTGTAGATAGGCAACCCTCCTAAAGAAGCACGCTATTGTCAATGAGCTGGAAGCCTAGACTGCAGATCTCAGAATGGATGCTCTTCCCAGTTGCCTGGAGAAGCCCTGGAACAGGCATCAGAAGAAAGCAACAGGTGTCAAGTCCTTCATACACACTACTGCTGTTCTCTCTCCGAGAGACATGGACTCACTTCAGAAAGCTGGATGAAAGGTGCAGACAGCACTGTGCTGTATTTTATTTATTGCACAAGTGCCATTAGATATACAAATCTAGGATTGCAGATGTACCTCAGGGTAGATCATATGCCTAGCATGCATGAGGCCCGAGGTTCGATCTCCAGCACCAAAAAAGAAACGTTGCCAGGCACAGTGGCACACACCTATACTACCTGCAGCTTGGGAAGCTGAGACAGGAGGACTGAGAGTTCAAAGCCAGCCTCAGCAAAAGCAAGGAGCTAGGCAATGCAGTGAGACCCTGTCTGTAAATAAAATGCAAACTAGGGCTGGAGATGTGACTTGGTGATCAAATATCCCTAAATTTAATCCCTGGTAACAAAAAAAAAAAAAAAAAAAAAAGGAAAGGAAAGAAACAAACCTAGAAGCTATTCTGAATGTACAGTAGATGGAAGAACTGGGTTGGGGGGGGGGGGTGCGGGAGAAAGGAAAACCAGGGCTCAGGGATCACCCTTCACCTGGATCAAAGTCTACTGATTTGGGCTGGGGATGTAGCTCAGAGGTAGAGTGCTTGCCAAGCATGCCTGAGGCCTTGGGTTCTATCCCCAGCACCAAAAAAAAAAAATAGCCTGCTGATCCTGTGGTAACTGGGAACCCCATCAGAGGTCTGGCTTTGATTGGAGCTGATGCTTTCATAGTAGCTGTTTTTGCCTTGGACTGGAAGGACTCAACATTTTTCTTCCAGCAGCAGACTATATTCCTTGCGGGATAGGCAGGGTTTCATTTATCTGTTCTCAATTCGTTTGTCATTTTTTCATGATACTGGACATAAATGCCAGGGGCACTTTACCACCAAGCTACATTTCCAGCCCCATTTCTATTTTCCTTTTTGAAATAGGGTCTTGCTAAGTTACCCAGGCTGGCCTTGAATTTGTGATCCTCCTGCTTCAGCCTCATGAGTTGCTGAGATTACAGGTGTGTGCCACCACGCCTAGCTACATTTTTAAAGTATGAATTATTATATATAAAAGAATTAAGGAATACTATGATGTAGCAACTCATGCCCCTGCAGCACAACTTAAGAAGTAAAACCTTGGGCTGTGGGTATAGCTCAGTGGCAGAACACTTGCCTAACATGTGCAAGACTCTGGGTTCAATTCCCAGCACTGAAAAAAAAAAAAACACTTTATCACCTCTAAGGTGCTTCTTTTAGCCCCCAAATTCCAGTTCTCTCATCAAAAATAACCACTATTCTGAACTTTAAACTTGTAGGTTTTCTCCATAAAGTTATTATGTTTGTATGATCAAACAATGTTTAATTCTACATGGTTTTATATTTTATATAAATGGCATTATAGTGTTTGTATGCTGTGGGTTCCTTTCTTTGTTCACTGTGAGATTTATCCGTGCTGGCAGGTGTTACTTCAGTTAATTTCCTTTCATTCCACTATGTAAATATACCACTATTGTTATATATTCTTCTCAAATGGATATTAGGTTTCCAACTTTTTGCTACTAAAAACAAATGAGCCTGTCAACTTTTTGCACATGTTTCTGTGATTACAATTTTCTAGGGTTTAGCTTAAGTGGGGAACAGGCAAGTAGTAAATAATATAAATCTTCAGTTTTATTAGAAGATGTCAAAGTCTCTTCCTTAATATTTAAGCACATAGCTCTAAATTATTAGATGTTTTTAAATATATGGCAATATTATCTTTTCTAAAAGTTTTATTTTAATATAAAATATTTACCTATTACTTTTTTGTCTGTCCTTTTTGTGTCTTAGGAAATTCTTCCCTACTTCTGTTATTTCCTTCTATAAGTATTTGTCACATTTAGGTTTTTAACCCACCTGGATTTCTAAGGTAGGGGTGTTTTGTTCTTGATTTTTTAAAGTCAGAGTTACAATTTTTCCCTTCATTTTCTATCAGTTACTAACTAGTCCATTCTTTCTCTCACTGATTATGATCTCACCACTGCATTGTAGTCATGTATTATTATATGTGGGGATCTGTTACTAGGTTCTCCATTCTCCTTTGTTTGTCCCTTCGTGTACTGGTTTTCTGTGTGTGGTGCTGGGGATTGAACCCAGGGCTTTCTGCATATGAAGCAAGCACTCTACCAGCTGAGCTATATCCCCAGCCCTGTCATACTGTCAAGGTTTTAATAAACTTTGATAGCTTTTCAGTCAATTCTCCCTACTGTTTTTATGCATTTGTATTACTTTGACTTTTCTGATTCCTTTACTCTTCCACTGTTTCTTCAGTTTTTCAGGTTCTAGGAAAAAGCCTGTGAGTATTTTTATTGAACGTACATTGAATTTGGATTTATTTAGGGAGAACAGATGTTTTGATGACAGAACCATTATACCTATAAAAATGGTATGTCTCCATTTATGTATTAAAATGTGTTTCAATAAAGACATATCCTTTCCATATTGGTTAGTTTCATCTTTTATTAGATTTATTCCTTAGTACTTCACATTTTGTTGCTACTGTAAAAAGGCATTTTAAAATTATATATTTGCTTATGTATTACTGGCCTAAAGGACTGAAATTTATTATTGATCTAATACTAATAACATGCTGAATTTTTTATTCTACAAGACTACAGATTTTATTGGGTTTTCTATAAATACAGTCATATAATTTGCAAAACAAACCAAAATTTAGTTCCTTCTTTGTCTTCTAGAACTTCTAGTGAAATGTTGAAAGGAGTGACAATAGTAATAATCCTTGTCTCCTTACCTTAAAGGGAATGTTTCAAACATTTTACTATTGTGTTGTAGCCAGATATGGTAATACATGCCTGCATTACCAGTGACTTGGGAGGCTGAGGCAGGAGGATTACAATTGAAAGGTTAATAATCTTGAGAACTGTTTGCTAATCTTGTTCCCAGAATGTGCTGTCCCCAACTGCCAAACTGCAGAATGTATTCCCTTACTCGGTTGCACGCAAACCACCTACTCGCCCTGACCCGTCAATGAACTTCCCTCCCTGCCCTCTCCAAGGAAAGTATATAAGCTCTGCTTAAGCTGTTCTCAGGGCTCTTTGCTCTATTCAAGTGAGCTCTGAGCCCCAACATGCTGGACCCCCAATAAACCCTTTGCTGTTGCATGAGACAGTCTCTTGATGGTCTCTTCCTCTGACGCTCACCTGACCTTTACACAATTTCAAGACCAGCCCTACCAATTTAGTGAAATAGTCTCAGAATAAAATAAAAAGGGCTGGGGGTGTGACCTCTGAGTTCAATCCCAGTACCTCCACCCCCCTCCCACACAAAGGGGGGAAAAAAAAGGCTGTATCACAGTGGTAGAGCATTCCTGGGTTCAATTCCAGTACCCCCAAAAGTTTGTTGTGGTTATTTGGTACATTTTTTGGGGGGAGTGGGGTGGGGTCAAACCCAGGATCTATATCCCCAGGGAGCATGCTAGGCACGTGTTCTACCATTGAACTATATCCCTAGCCCTCTTTAAAAATAATTTTGAGACAGGGTCTCACTAAGTTGCCCAGATTGGCCTCAAACTTGCAATCCTCCTCCCTCAGCCTCCCTGGGATGACAGGTGTGTGTGTGTGTGTGTGTGTGTGTGTATTTAGTTGTAGTTGGACACAATACCTTCGTCCTTCGTTTTATTTATTTTTATGTGGTGCTGAGGATCGAACCTAGGGCCGCACACATGCGAGGCAAGTGCTTTACCAGTGAGCCACAACCCCTAGCCTCCACCTCCCGCCATATATTTTTATATGGGATATTTTTAACAGATTAGAGTTTTTTACTGTTTCCAACTGGCTAAGATTTTACTATTTTCAATGAATTTTAAATTCATTTCCACACTTACTGAGATGACTTCCTGCTTTAATGCAATAAATAACATTAGATTTTCTGCTGTAAAGTCAGCTTTACATTTCTTGTGGAGACTCAACTTCACTATGATGTATTACATTTTTCATAAATCACAGGATTCAGCTAACAATTCCTTTAGGGTTTTTACATTTATGCTCAAATATAGGATTAACCCTTAATTATCATTTCTTGTATTATCCCTCTTTTGGTTGTTGCCAAAGTCATATCAGTTTTTTTCCCCTCCTTTTCTTTATTGGTACTGGGAATTGAACTCAGAGGTACCACTGAGCTACATCCCCAGCCCTTATTTATTTTTTACTTTAAGACAGGGTTTATATTGCTTAGGGCCTCACTAAATTGCTGAGGCTAGCCTCGATCTTGTGATCTTCCAACCTCAGCCTCCCAAACTGTTTGGATTATAAGAATGCACCACACTATGCTCAGGTATTCCAGCTTTTTAGAATAGTTAGAGTGTGGTCCTTTTTTCTATTCTTTGCATAGTTCAAGCTCAGAATTAACTATCTGTGAAGCCATTTGGGCGAGATCTAAAACTATGTCTTAAAGAGTTACAGACAAATTTACACTTCTTCTGGATTCAAATGGAATACAGTAAGCAGTCAATAAAGACAAGAAGATTAGTTTAAATAGATTTTTTTCAGTTTGAGTTTCCTGTAGGCAATTATGAATATCAAGACTTGCTTGTGGTTATGAATTCTTAGTTTTGAATTTTTTTTTTTTTTTTTTTTTGTGGTGCTGGGGATGGAACTCATGGTCTTCAGAAGGCTAGGCATGTGCTGTACCACTGAACTACACTACCAGCCTATTCTTAGATCTTTTCTATTCTCCTGGAGTAGAGGTTAAGGCAGGTAGGTTTTCCAATCTTTTCTCCATTAGAGGGGTAGCTTTTCTTAAGGTAACCCTTTCATTGAGGGGCCAGACCTTTAGAGACCTTAGCTCTATAGGACATTCTCTCACATCCTTCCATAGGCTCAGGTCTTGCATTCCTTGAATCATGCCCTAGATTTCTAGAGATTGGTAATTGCTCTTAAAATAGCTTACAGCTTCAAAGTCCATCTACCATATTGAAACCAAAATATTTCTCCCTAAATTACTGAGGATTGTTAAAATGCAGAAGGACTCTCTGATTTTCCTGTCTAAAGATATAGAAAATTAATAAAACAGAAAGTCTTTCTACCTCCCCTCCCTCTTTTCCCACCTAAAGACAGAATTTAAATCCTCATATGTTGGAGACAGTCTTATCAACTCAGACCTTAGCAGATCAAGCTGTAAGCCCACTTTCTTCCCACAAACTTACCTTCTTAGTTTTTTCACCACTAAAGCCTAAAACTACCTGCTCTTTTGTCTTGTCATTACTCTGAGATTTATTACTGTGAGGGTGGGAAAGATGGCGGGATGAGAATAACATCATTACATCATTACTTTAGGTATATGTATGACTGCACATGTGGTGCGACTCCACATCATGTACAACCAGAGAAATGAAAAGTTGTGCTCCATTTGTGTACAGTGAATCAAAATGCATTCTGCTGTCATGTATAATAAGAGCAAGTAAAAAAATAAAAATTTTAAAAATAGGAAAAAATAATATTTAAGACATTCCAAGCCACTGCTTTGAACATCTTGTGCTACTTTTCTCCCACATGATGTGCACTACACACATTACTCGTTTTTCTCTTATTAATCTGTCTTAAGAATATCCCCAACTATTAATTTATGAGGGTTGAGAAAAAAATTGTTTTCTCCTCCTGTATTTGCTGAGACAGAAGATTCTGAGATACTTACTCACTCTTGAGCCCTATAGAGGAAATCCTGGTGGAAGCAAACAGAAACACTAAGAATTCTTAACCAAAATGAGATCTTCCTGCTGTTATAGTTAAAGCTTCGTCCCGGGATTTCATAAACTAACTTCCAGATCACTCACGTATAATCAAATCAAGCCTTTATTGAAGCACACTGGTGGTGGCTGACCAGAACATAAAGCTGTTCTCCTGATCAGCCCTGAACAATTGCAAGGGCACTCCTTATAAGCCTGAAAACGCAAAAGGGATGTTCGGGGGGTCTAGCCAATGCAAGCAAGCCAGGTTACAAAAGCGGGAGAGTGCACTCAAGTGGCGGGAAGCCTAACCAATCACATTCCTCAACAAACTGAGGCAGGGGAGAGAAGGTCTGGAAGTCAGTAGAGATAATGACTGATGGGGTTGAGAAGATGAGGGCTGGTTACCAAAGAAAAGACAAAAGGTTGCTATCAACTAACCTCTAGCCCAGTCACCCCAGTTACAGAAACAGCCTCGTTACCCTAGTTACAGAAACAATGCCCCATTATGTAGTTCCGTGTTCTTAAAGGTTTCTATAGCAAAAGGAAAAGAACATTTTGCCCTGGTCATGACCCTTCTACTTGGCATGGATGAAGTCATAAAACAAAATGGAGTCACATTTGCTTCTACTATCACACTGCTTTTTTACCTGCAATGCCTGGTGGAGAAAGGGAGGTATCTTAGTTTGTTTTCTATTGCTATAACAAAATACCTAAGACTGGGTACTTTTTAATTTATTTTACAAATTTATTTTGGGTGGAGCTGAAAGTCCAAAGTCAAGTGACCATATCAGTTTGGTCTCCAATGAGGGCCTCCTGGTATATGGTATCATAGGGTCAGGAATATGGGGGAAAGAGATCACAAAATAAGATAGGAAAACAGAGATTTAGGGGTCTGGTTTGCTTTTTTAAAACATCTGTTCTCACCAGGCACGGTGGCGCACACCTATAATACAGCAGCTTGGGAGGCTGAGACAGGAGGATCTAGAGTTCAAAGCCAGCATCAGCAACTTAACGAGGCACTAAGCAACTCAGTGAGACCCGGTCTCTAAATCAAATAAAAAATAGGGCTGGGGATGTGCCCCTGAGTTCAATTCCCAGTACCCCCAACACACACACACACACACACACAAATGCCTGGATAAAAATGCAGGTTATACTCTTTTAGCAGCTAACAAAGCTTTTCTTTATTTTGGGGCTCTTTTTGGAAGGGCTCTTTTTGCTCCCTCTCTGGATGTAAACCCTGGTTTCTTATAAATGACTGACCTGTTTTGGTCTCATGGATGCTTATTCGCTTTGGCCAAATCAGTCATTGGTAGGTATAATTTTGGTAGAAAACTGTGATTTATACAGTTATCTCTCAGTATCCTCCAAGGGACTGGTTCCAGGAACCACCCACACACCAAACCAAGATATAGAAATCCACAGACGCACAGGGTGCGGTGTGTGACACATACCTGATATCCCAGCAATTTGGGAGGATGAGGCAAGTTAGAGGACAACCTCAGCTACTTAGCAAGACTTTGTCTCAATAAAAGGGCAGGTGGCTGGGTATGTGGCTCAGTGGTAGAATACCCCTAGGTCATAAAAGCCACAGATGCTCAAATCCCTCATATAAAATGATGTATTTGCATATAACCTGGGCACATTCTTCCATGTACTTCAAATCATCTCTAGATTACTTATAATACCTAAAGCAATATAGATACTATGTAAATAGACATTATATTACATTATTTAGGCATTAACAATTTTAAAA